AATATTTAATTATAATATATTATAAATAAAGAGATTATAATACTTTCTATTTTCACACGAAAATAATGAAAACTTGAAGTAATTAAAAGTAAATTTGACTTTTCGTAGCTGGCGATGGTACATTCAAGCAAATGACCGATAGAGATAATTGTGATACTGTTGCATCCCCCAATTCGATGAATGATTATTATGAGAAGTTTGTAGGAAGAAACGCTGATTCTCTTACGATTGATCAGTCAACGGACAACGGTTTTGAAAAAATCGCACAACGAGAAAGTAATCCGGGACCGAGTGCTTTATACAATTTGATCTCACCTCGCGTTGTGCAGGAGCATAATCCCAAGAGGAAATTCGTACAACGAGAAGAAGAACTGCACATGCTTGCACTTTCGGAAGCGCAGATGAAGGTCGACATCGCCGCCATGTTAAAGGAGGAAGCGAGGCTCAAATTAGAGGAGGCTCATTACCGCAAGGAGGAAGCTAGGCTTAGAATGCTGCTTTTTACTTATAAATTAGATAGGATTAAAGACGAATGAAGGAAGACGGATAATTTTATTGGATATGGCATGGACGTGTTGTACATCTATTATTTTTCTTTATTTTCGTTGCACCGATGCATCGATGCCGGTGCTCGTAAGCAAAATAAATTGGTTATATAATATAAAATATAAACGTAATTGTGTGTCTCTATAATACCAATTTACTTTTCATGAATGCACAATTAGAATATCAAAATAAATACAAGTTTTCTGATGATTTTACTTGCTAATAATTATTGCATTATGCGATATTATTCAGCTTGTAATGAACGTTACGAAGGTGTGACTTTTGACGAACGCAGACGCAACAGACAATCGACAAAATTATGACAGCAAAATGAAAGAAGAAAGTTTTGAGGTTCACATTATTCGTATTATTTGTATATTTGGATCAATCATTTTTATAATAGTTAAAATATAACAGCACAGAGAACTCGTCTGTATCTTTATTCCAAATTTAGAAGAAATATATATAAAAGATATAAAAAAAATAAAAAGATATATAAAAAAAAATAAATTTTCTTTGCGTCTTAAAATATTCTTGATTATTTGAACTTAAATTTTTGTATGTTATTATAAGAGTTATTTTGTAGTTATTTTGGAATGTCATTTGAAAAAGATACCAGATGCTATTTCTGGAATATCTTTAGGAAATATTTTTTTTATAGAGTAATGTTTTTAACTTCTCGATTATTAGTAATAATATTATGTATAAATACAATATGTAAAATAATAAATGCTTGACAGAGTCTTTAGCTGGCAGAATCTTTATGGGGGATTGGCAGTGAATTATTGACTAGTGACAGAATAGATCGTGAATTGATTTGTCACGGATTAATTGTCGTTAGTCAGTTTCGTATACTCTTATTAAAGTAAATAAATAAAGCGGGAATCGTTCGCGTTATGTAATTTCAGGATCGATCTTCTCACGTATTTCTTCTACATAAGATGAAAGTTGTCGCCGAGAGCCGATTTTGAAGTGTTCGAGCAATGAGTGACCTCAAAAAGCGAAGGATCGGTATAGATTGGCTCGCTCGGATCGAAACCGCCACGTCGACCGGTGGATAATCCCACAGCACCCTCCAGAGTGGACGATGAGGCAAGACGTTGGCTAATAGCATTGCTCATTGATCTCGAGATCGATCTAATTAAACATTACTATTTGTTACGATCTTCATTATAAATTTAAATTTTATATTATGAATAACGAAAAAATAATAAAATATCAATGTTTAAAAAAGAGTTCGATTGCATTAACTGGAATTCAAGTTAAAAATGAACAAATCAAAATTTTCTAGAATGAATTTACTATAATTTTAATTGAACAAACCAGGCTTCTGATATGATTTGAATCTTCTGGTTCATTTTCAATCAGAAAGACATAGAATTTAAAATATGTATAATTCGTTTAATACTTACGACGCTTGGAACGGTTTCTGAAGACCTGTCCTCATAAAAGAAAAGTTGTTGATTCGACTGCTGTAAGGCTCATCGGAATGGTTGCTGCGACTGCAGGTTTTGTCGAGTCTACGATTTTTCATAATCACGGAATAAACGTATTTTCTGAAATAATGAATCACTTTAAATTTGCTTAATAAACAAGGAAGATGAGATCCAACATATTGTGTTAATAATACTGCAAGCTTATAACTATTCATGGGTTAATTTATTTTTATGAATTTATTTTTAAGGATCTATTTATTCATTGAGATGTGTTCTTAAATAATAAAATGCGAATGAATTATTAAATTTCATAGATAAAATATAAGTTCTATAAAATATAAGTTCTACCTGTAAACAAGCATAGACAAGAGAACAACAGAGGCCAAGAGCACCACGAGGATGCCTACTGCGGTAACCAAGCCGTAGTATTCGTTTTGCGTTATACAAATATTTTCCAAGAGTAATTTACTAGCCTTAGTTTGCTTCTCGATGATATTATCTTCTTCAATGTTCATTCTTGAGTCGAGAACCTATTAAAATACAAATAATATTATTAGTCGTGGAATAGAAACGACATCTTTCTATTCCTTCGAAATGAAAATGATCAATCTTGATACCTCTATCATTTCTCTGACATGCTCTTCCTCCTCTTCGTTGTCTAGTTCATCGCTCGCAGCATCGGTCGCGTTGAAAATCGTTGACGCATTGTTAAAGTCATCATTCGTTACTATTATCGGCGATGTCTCATCCTCGTCCGTCGCTGTATCGTTATTTACGTCCCTTCGCCGTCTGCCAAAGGATGGTTCGCTTCTACCGGTACCACTGCAATACGCTGGCTGGCAGCCATCGCGGCACGTTCGTACATTCGCCTCGAACACCAGGAAATTTGATTCGGGTATTTTGAAGGCGTTGAAGCGGGCCTCGAGGCTATCGCCATCACGGAGACGGTCCAAACCAGGAAACACGTAGTTGTCCACTGGACAGCTGCAGAAATTTCCGTTTCAATTACGCGAGTACGATATATAGATAGATTGCGGAGGTAATTTAATTTATCCAATTATTATGTAACTTGAATATCTCAATAAAGGCCAAGATAGAGAAAAAAAAATAGTACAATAATGGCTGCGTTCCGATATTCTGCTGAAAATCTATAAGTACACGTAATGTAAATTATAGATTTTCAATACTGGCAGTGATTATGGATTATCGGAATGCAGCTGATATTGTATTATCTTCAATATAGATAATGCTATTATAATACTTCTCTTTTTGTTTTTTTTCTCTTTTCCTTACTGCCGTTAATTATTAGGAGTTTCAATATTTCTTACCCATATCTGTCGATCAGTTGAACACTTTTACCAGAGTAAGGATCTCTTGCAATAACATTAGTAGCAAATATATCCGTTACGTAATTGTACCTACGGACAATAATGATTGGGATTTATTAAAATTTACACGCGATTATTACGAAATATTTTTAATACGAAGCTCTTGCGATATTTGATAAGTAAAAATTAATTCAAGGAAATTAACGAAATAGAATCGGACAGTGATATCAAACCATTATTTCCATATAATGTTTTAATTATATTAATTGGATATCAGGTTAAAAGATATATAAATGAAAATTACCCATCTTGAGCTTCAAGTCTAAAAGTGAGAGGATCGCCAACGGCGATGGTTGTCGTGGGTCTACCCTGGTAGAGAATCAGCAAGCGCACTCTGGAGCTCAGAGTATTTTCCGCTGGGAGATATTCGATAGGGATGGGGGACCCTGATCTGTACAGTGGACGCACGAGATCCATTAGCGAAATTGAATGAATTACAACTCTAATGAATGTGGTGGAAAACATGAGCATATCCAACGGGGGAAAGAATTGAGATGTTCAATTATTTATTTATTTTTTTAATTTTTAATTATAAAAAAATAGAACTTTACTTTCGACTCTAAATAATATTTTATTGTCACATAAACTATTTTCTTTCTTCATTACGATCATATAAATAATTTCTGAAACTGTTATTAGATACAGTTTTGACAGAATTTCTAATACATAAGAAAAATTTTCGTAAGATTTTTAAGAACAATTTCGTAAGAACAGAAAAATGCGTTAAGATATTAATTAGTACTTTATTCACAACTGTTTTTAATAATTGTATTTCATCTGTACTGTCTTCAGAAAAAGATGAAAATTATATGATTTTTACAAAAAATAACATTATTCTTTTTTAAAATTAGGAAACAGAAAGAGATTCTAAGCTTTAAAATATCCAAAAAAGCAATTTATTAAAAATTGCTGTTTATGAGAACAGAATTAAACCCTTCCTCCGTAAACAAATCCTGGATATGCCCATATTGGATGTATATACACATGAAAGATGTAATGCGGACAACAAAAAAAAATGAACGCTTTAATTGGCTCTCGTTTTTAAATTTCAATTTTATCAATTGATATACATTTTTTATCTTTTAATCAAATTTATTCAAATATTATACTTTTTTTATTGAAAGATGAAATGACTATTATATTATAATTATAGCATAAAAACAAAAATTTCCTATCATAATTAATCCGTACTGTGATTAATTTTTTAAGATGAGCCGTTAACATAAATGCATATTATATGCATATGTGTAACATGAAGTAAATAAGGTATAGAATGTATAAGGTATAGAAGGAATAGAATGTATACATGATATCTTCAAAATTTAGAACTGAATGTGTGATAAAAAAAAATTGTACGAGTGTTTTCACCTCATATTATACTTGATTTTATACTCGTGTATAAAAAGGTAATGCATTTTGCTCTGGTTACAGTAACAAGATATGCATAGGTCCATGTTAATATACGAAATTAATGAACAAGGCTAGAATAACATTGGAACAATATCATAATATTTGCTCAACGATTATAAAGATGGAGAACTTGTCTAAAATTAATACGATTTGTTAAAAAAAAGAATCCTGTAAAAATATAAAATTGTAAAAAGGAATATTATTAGATAAGTTCAAAGATTTTTCTCTCGATATGGCTTTATTTACATAATTCAGTGTCCCGGGATACCTATGGCATTTAACGCGTTAAAGATCGTGCTCTCGGTACAAGGCACGATCTCTCGATCGATATGACCTGGCATACCCGGCACCGATGTAACCGGATGTGACGACAGCTTCGTCAGGTCCTCGAAACATGCATGTTAGATTGAATCGTTTGTCTCGCCCGGTTTGCACGTAGTCCGAAAATTGCACCACCACGATGTTTGTCATCGTATCGCCGTACTGCAAACATTTAAAGCGTGCATTATATCGATTATTACCATTAAATTTTAATATTAGATACGGATATTAAAAAAAAAGAGAATTATCTTGTTAATAAGAAATTTTTTAAATGAAATTATTGTAAATAATTCTTGTACTCGATGTCTGATTAAAAGTTATTGTGAAATAATTTTCTATTTGCGCAATTTAAAAGTTTTGAAATAATTCCTTGAACGTCATGCGCAGTAAAAGATTGCAGCTTAAATTAAATTGGAAATTACTTCGCAGTGGATCATGTTAAGCGAAAATTTATGCTCTTACTCGCTGTGTGCCACATTCGGGATATCCCTGAGGTCCGCTAATACGGAGTTTGTTCACGGTCCTGCCGTTTCCGCGGAAGAAGCATCGGTCATAGTATCCGTACGTGTAAATTCGCCCAATGAATCCCTCCGGCGTCCTCAGAGTAAATTCCATCCCATCCTCGCTGCAGACTTGACTCACTAAAAGCGTAACAGAGCGTAATTCGTTGTGCATAGCTTTCGGAAAACGGTCGATCGAGGAGGTGCGCGTTAATACGGAATTAATTAAATTGAAATTGAGTAAAAGAAATTATTCGAAGGCGAAGTGGTAACTGTGTAAATAAATTTCTGACAGATAATTTTCGACGCTGAAAATTATCAATCGCATTTTTTTTAGCACAATATGCAAAATTTTGTGCAATATTTTTTAGCAGAAAATCGATTTCCTGAGAATCAGGCGTGCGATATAATTAATAACTACCGTTTATATATAAAATGCAATAAAATGGACATTTTAATTTGATTTTGAGCGAAACTAAAAATTTAAGCAGCTATTCATGCCTCGCATTCGTGATCGCTCTTTATTCTCAAAATTACTGTGTCGATTGTAAAATTGCATGATAAGCAGAATAAAAGAACGGCCAAGTGAAAAAGAGACGAGAGATAGTAAAAAATTCTCAAAATCTAAGTAATACAAATATTGTATAAGAAGTATAAGAAATAAAAATCGGAACACTAGCTAGTCAAGAGATAGTCAGCAATTAATATATTTAGGATGTTAAAAGCTGGAGGCAAAAGTTGAAGTTCGAAGCGTTTAGATACATTATCAAAAAAAATTATATTACATCTTTTGTTATTATAGGTACAGAATTTAAAAAAGTGAATTAAGATTGGAATGGGAAATTGTTGACCGAGAATGTTTATAAAACTGTATCAAACATCATCGACGGAATGTAGACTATGGTGATGCGTAGATATTAAATAGATTATGCAACATGCAAGAGGGAGAAGTATAAATAAAAGAACAACATTAAATATTTATTTCGTAAAAGTAAAGTCGTGTGACAAAATGGTGCAAAATTCTATATACAATAATGTGTGTAAATTCTTATCATTAAAGTGTAGCTTAATTAGACGAGTAGTTATTTTTATATTTAATAAAATACGGATAAATCGTTATGTTCTATGCGTTTTTAATTTACTTCGCGTAGAAAACAATTCGATGACTATTCCGTGCAGGCAATAATTCGGATATTTCATTTCTAATTGCAAAAAAGCATATGTTTCACCCTGGTTCTTAATGCGCTCAAGTGTCTCTCACGCGTTTCTCAGCTTTCATATCAGCGTTTTTACGGACGGAGGGACCGCTTACCGTCCAGACATTCCCCGTCCGCACCCTGGCGACCGTTGTTCCTCTCGTAAAAGTCGTAATCCGAACCCGTGTCGTAATAAACCGGATTGCCCATGTCCATGTCCCTGGAGTCCCTATCGCTGAGTTCGCAATTGTCCCTCTCGGCCCCGTAAGGCGCAGTGTACGGTCGGTAATTGAAGGACCTGCAAATGACATTGGGAATTTGCGAGCATTGTCCAATCGATTGTGCAAACAAACGTCATCGGATCATTCCTAATTCAATTTCAAGCTCCCTGGGTCACAAACATTTCCTGAACAAACTGTCGGAATTCTATGTTTCACCGTTGTAGTCACATCTATTAAAAAACATCCTACTTTAAATACGTTCTTTACAGTATGTTTTCTATTTTATATATTATTAATATATAATAGCGGAATCTAATTTAATTTTTTTATATTAACTTTCACACACCATTCGCTTCAATTATTTTATCAATTTTATAATTGCTATAATAATTTGATTATATTAATAAGACATATGCGGTTGAATATATTTTGGTGAAATGGAACAGAATTTCTAATTATTATGACAGAATTCAATATTTTATAACTAGAAACATTTTATAGATTTAATTATTCGAATTTGATTAATATTTTCTAGTTAGCTCTAATGAATTTCTAGCTATATCCTAAAATATTCTAGCTATATCCTAAAATATTTTGCTGCTCAAATCAATCATCACAAACATATTACTATCTGAAAATCATTTAGATTAAATTCAGATTAAAATGTTTTTTTAATTTTCTCTAGATGGCTTGTATAGTTAAATCTAATTCTGAAAAATAGCAGAAAGAAAGATGAAATTTATCTATATCAAACATGTCTTTTGAATTAATTGCCTAAAACTTCATCGCTTTTCGACACAAATTTAAATTCTCTCGTCTAATTATATTTATTTGTACAAGTTCGACCATTATCATTACCTGCAAACGAAGTCTCTAGCATCGGCACATTCCCTCTCGCACTGAGCCAACGACGAGGCAGTGGTGTACCGTCTAACGAATGGCTTCCGTACTCTGGTACGAGATCCAACTTGCCTGAAATTGTCCTGTTCGTCGCATCTAGACACTAACGGAGGCCTGCCTATGATGGGTCTGCCTGCGATGGGCCCACCAGCAGTTCCAAATGGACGAGAGTTGTAGACTCCGCCTTCACCTATGTATCCGCCACCAACAATACCGCCGTCGTCATATCCTCCGTATCCTCCTAGTCGCATTGGACCGTACGGCCCACCACCATAATGAGGTCTTGGCTCGGGACCACTCTGAGGACCACGAACATCGTCGACAAATCCGGGCGAGTACATTCCTGGTGGTGGATACCTGCTTTTAATTGAATCTCAACGTCATTTTTCTACGATAAATCGTGGATCATCAAGATTATTGTTGTGGTTGCTATTATTATTATTTTTATATTATTATTATTATTATTATTATTATTATTATTATTATTATTATTCAGTGGCGCTTTAGTAGTCATTGATGTCCGATGTAATTAAAATATTTTAAAACACAAAAATATTGATAAAAAATAGATGCGACTTATAATATAAAATTTTAGATGACGTAAAAAAAAATAGCTAGATAACAATGTAAAATACAATTAATTCCGCTATTATTTATTACGCGCATATTAGATTTAGTAATTTTATCAGTGTAAGAAAAGAGAAAGATACTTTATTACGGCAAATAAAAATTTACTAGACAACGCATTAATGGAAAAGTGATAACGATACGTGAACAAAAAATTAAATTTGATATAATCGTGTCTAATTTAGACAGCGACTTACCGACTAGCATAAGGATCCTTGTCTGGATATCTTCCACTAGCTGGATATCGATCACCACCTAATCCCATAGGATATCGGTCCACATGGTCTTCTGGATAAGGATACCGATCTATTGTATTAGGATATCGATCAATCATATCAGGATATCGACTTGGAATTACACGAACCCCGTGTATTACAGTAGGATATCGGTCATTCGCGGGATATCGGTCATTCGCGGGATATCGATCATTCGAGGGATATCGATCACTCACGGGATATCGGTCACTTGGAGGATATCTCCCCAGAGTTCCGGCGTCGGGATATCTATTGACGCCATTAGGACGACGATCTCCTCCTCTAATAGGATATCGATCAGACATGGGATATCTGTCCGGATATCGGTCGCTAACTGGATAACGATCAGGATAGCGATCTCCCACAGGATAACGATCTCCTGTAGGATAACGATCTCCTGTGGGATAACGATCTCCTGTGGGATAACGATCTCCTGTGGGATAACGATCTCCTGTGGGATAACGATCTCCTGTGGGATAACGATCGGGATATCGATCACCAAGAGGATAGCGATCAGGATAATTGTCGGGTTCATTTAAAGGATATTTGTTATCCGGATATCTATCGTCTAAAGGACGGCGATCAGGATATCGATCTGCTGGATAACGGTCGGGATACCGATCTGGATAACGATCCGGTATACGATCTGGTATACGATCTGGATAACGATCTGGATAACGATCTGGATAACGATCCGGTTTGACGCTGGTAGAATATCCTTTGTCGTAATCGTCCGGGTATCCTGAAAGAAACATTTTAACAAATTTCGACATCGTAGTTAATTATGTAAATCAAATGTTTAATATTTTTAAGTAACATGGAAACAAACAAATGGTAAACATTTAGCAATACTAAGAACTTTATAAAATTGATTTTTATAATAATCAGATTATTTTTTTAAAATTTGAATTTTAAAATTCTAAGAACAGAAAATTCAGCAATCTTACAAATCCTACAAATTTACAAATTCTCAAAAAACAAGATCTTTTTAAATTTCTTTGTTTGTAAGCCTTTGTCTTCAAAGGGTTAATATGAAATGCCGTTATAATAAAAATATAAAATTCAAGATTAGAACTGATCACATTTAGCATTGAAAATGCAATGTGAATGCAATTTTGATTAGTTTAGTATTCGAACAACAAGATTGATGATATTCTTTAACAGGTGATGGTTAACAATTGTGTCTAACGGCAATTATAAACATCTGTTTAAGATCTTGTCCCATTAAAACAATTTATGTGATTACTCGGCAGCTCTATGAATAATTACACAACTTTATCTAACATGTCGACATGCGATATTACTCTGAATTAATAAAGCGGTTCTAACCGGGTCTTCCTAAAGAGGGTCGTCCAAAGTTTGTGTCCTGTCCCAAGGGATCCGGTCTGTAACCAGGACCATCGCGATCGCCGTCTAGATATTGATCTGTTGATACAATGCGGTCGTTAAATTAAACATTGAGCTATGCAAAGCTGTATCGCTGTTCCAAGACGTTCTCGAAAGTCGCAGTACGATCACGTAGTGATAGAAGTCAATTTACCGACACGATATATAATTCAAAAAAAGAACCAAGCCGATTTAAAATTTTTCGTAAATAATAGAATAATAACGATAAACGTTAACAAATTTACATAAACATTAATAATTAATAAACATTAATTTCGCACTCAATAATGCAACTGTTAGGTAATACCATGTCATATTACATTTATATTGTTGAATGTGAAATTATAACATTAATGTTATATTAACTTTTAGGATCAACTCGAATAACAGAAACATCGTGCGATGCATCTCCTTCCTCACAATGAACAGACAGACAATCGATACTCACGCATGAGATTCTCATAATAGTCATAATCGGCATCGTAGATAATCCGGTTACCATCCCTTTGATTGAATCGGCTTAATCGGCAGGTGTGATAATGCTCAGAATAAACGGCGCTACGGCATTGGAAGCTCGTCTGCCGGAGGCATTCGTCCAGACACTCACTGAGGCTGCGTCCGGTAATCTCCGAATGAAACTCGCCACTCAAACGCGAGTTCCGATAACGCTGGAAAGCCGTATCTGGACGACGACCATCGGAGAAGAGGTGTGACGATGAACTGCTGTCCGGGTATTCGGAACCGCGCGCTACGGACGGATCTACGCTTCGTAAGTGGGCATTGATAACGAGTTGTGAATCACCAACTGACCATTGTTAATTAAAAATCTTACGCCTCGTTAGAATATAATACAGAGTAGGAAAAAATATAGCACCGATATATTGAATAACTAACACCGTACGTTTTATGTATTAATTAATAAATTAGCCCTTCAATATTACTACACTACACTATTTTGTCACAGGTGCAATATATTTTTTACAGTATGGTATATTCAACTCAATTTTTGCTTATAACTTTTATAAAAATAACATATTGTAATTATTTTTTTTTAAATAATAGATAGAAATTTCGAAATACGGATACGCCATACCGAGATTGTTATTAAAGAGGTAATATAATTTTAAAATTATATATTCGAAATCTTTATTTTATTTATTTACACCAAAACCAAGTTAGTGTGAAATTAATGAAATTATAAAAGGTTTAATAATTAATGGAATTTACATAATAAATCAAGTTAATAATTAATAAAATTAAATTAAAGAAAAAATAATTTAATAAAAGCTTAGTTTCTTGAAACATAGAAATTAATTTTAATGTTCTGGAAAAATCATTGTCGATTTTATCTGTCATTGAATATATCGCGAATGTTACTTACATAATGAGACAAAATAACAATAGACTAAAATGGGGACAGGCAACAGTGAGTTATAAAAAATTAATATTAAAATTTTGCATACACTCACGATTATCTAAGCACACCAAATCGTAAAAGTGATGACTTGGGCTGCTGCTAACTCCAATATCGTCCTTTTGTGAAACAGAATCCTCTTCGGATATGACGCACTGCCGCGTTTGTTCGTCAAATTCGATGCTGCGACAAAAATATTTTTCCGCTCTAGGACATAGCGCCTGACATTCTTCCAAAGTAAGATTTGTATATATATCCACTTCAAATGGGCCGCGCAAACGTTTGTTTTCTTCCTTGACGAACACTGTGAGTCCGTCGCATCGTCTCTCGGCTGATCAGATATTTAAAAAATATTTCTTTAATTTTAATTATATGTATAATTAATGTAAATATTATTAATTAATATAATTGTATAATTAATGTAATTATATATGCGATATTTCTCAAGATATTTAATATGTCGATTAACATCTTTTAAATATACCTACTTTTTTTGCGCAATTTCTAATTATTACAAGAAAATTTCTGACGCAATTTTTCGATAAGATACATAAATTAAATACTTTATACAAAAATTAATTAGAAACGTACTGTTAAGGCAAGTATTTTCCAAATAATCAGAATTCGGATCATCCTCCAGTAATTCAGGATGAGTTCTCCTAGTGAAACGACTGAGAGAACAGCTTCTCAGGGCAGTGTCATATGTTGCTGATCGACAGACGAAACTGAATTCGTTGAGACATCTAAACATAAAATTAAAATGCTATTTCTTTTACGACACGCGATAATTTTTAATCTTCGCAAGTACCTATCTTCGCAGTCGGTTCTGTTAGCGGCACTGACTTCTTTGATGTCTGTCAAGGGTAGCTTCAGCTTCTTTCTCGGATGCCTCTCGAACACATAACGACGATTTGGACATTCTCTCTCTATTCTGTCGGCTAAAAATGAAACAGATATATTAACTAGTAAATTCTAGAAATTATTAAAGATAAATAGACACAGGTATAGAAATCAATTTTTAAAGAACTCCAGATCAACTTGAAAAATTATTTTTAGTCAAAGAATTGCGGAGAATAGTTCGTTCCACCATTATTAGGAAAAAAAATCATTATGTCTTTCTGATAAACAAAATTCGTGAACGAGTGACTATTTCAATTAACAGAATGCATCGCGCCTCGTTCACGAATTTTGTTTGTCAGAAAGACGTAATGATTTTTTGCACAACGATATTTTTTCTGTCGACGTTTTTCTGTCTATGCGGATACTCACATGTTAGGCACACTTCGGTGAAGTGCACGCTATTTGGTACGAGCATAAGATTTCCGATGCCCTCCGGCTGCGCCTGTTCTCTCGTTAAATAGCAAGTACTCTCTTCGTACTCGGCGGCGCCGCTGAAGGACGCGATTCTGCTGCCAGGTTGGAAGTCGAAGCTCGTACATGCGCGGACCAGATTGTTCGTCGCCGTTCTGTCGCGCAGACAGAGCTCTTGACACTTCTCCAAGACCCTAAATGGAGGCGCCGAGTCTCGCACCTGCCATAAAAAGAAATTTCTTAACATCGGATACTTTATTATGTCACAATCACGTTACATTTTTTCCTACGCGACCTCTGCGTCGCGGAATTGTGAAAAATTGAAATTCGAGAAGCGTGCGATCGATCAATCGTTCACGCAAAATAGAGCGAGGATGAAAGTTCCTTGGAAATAGCAAACACTTCTTCAAGTAATAGGTAGCTAGTCGTAAACAATTTGTAGCATACATTAACAATGGCTCAAACGCGACCCGAATGGATAATACAGTTTTGTACAGAATTAGACAGTAACAAATTTAAATGTGAATACTTTACTTACTATAATAATAATTTCACCTCATTATAATAGTATGAGAAACCATTTATTCAAAAAACATATACGTTTTTTGAAGAAGAAGAAAAAAAAAGAAGATGCATTATAAAATCGTTTTCAAAAGGAAATACATTTATCAAGATTTTAACTATTATATACTTTTAACTATTATATTGTGACAATTAACATATACATACATTAATATATACATGTATATATATATGTGACATTTTTCAAAATATTATTGTCCGACACGCCCGAATGATAAATTTGGATGCAAGAAATTCATGTTTTGATATTTATTCGAAAAACATCATATATCTGAAATAAGATCAGACTTAGAACATGAATTTCTTGCACTTAAATTTATCATTTGGATTTGCGTGCTGGACAATATTATTTTGGAAAATGTCATAATGTTAATTGTCATAACATAATAGTTAGATCTCTGGCGTTACACCTCTCTCATATGCTTATGGCATAGCGCACGGTAATTATTCAATTGCCACAAGCATATAGGATTTATAGTTTTTAATGCCGGTTCCGAACAACGGATTTTTCGAGAGATGTTTCTGTGGGCAAAGATACTCTCGAGAGGTCAGCCTTTTCCGAAAGAAGACACGAGCGTAAATATTTTCTAAATATTTTGATTCCTACTGGGATCGAATTCGGAATCTCTGGTACGATAGACCAATGCGTTGCTACTTTGTCTGCTATGCTACTATATGTTCGCGTTCGAAGCATTTGACAATAGAAAAACAGAAGGAATTGATAAAGAAGAACGAGACTAAAATAATCACAAAATAAAGAATACCGAAAATGCAGAATGCTCATTATGTTCGGTATTGTTATCTTTAAAAATAGGGATGCACTGGATATGCAGGAAGTATCCGATATCCGGTATTATCCGGATTTTTTACTATCCGACCAGATAGCTGGATATCATTAATATCCGGTTGAAATTTGACGTTATTAAATTGTTAATTTTTTCTTATACAAATGTTTTAGAAAAAAGTAAATACGTAATTAATATTGAAAATATGATATCTCAAAATTTTAGAAGTAAAAAAATTGAAAGATTGCGTGTTTACCATGCTATTATAATTATTTTTTTTTTAGCGAATTGATAACAATGTTATTTATTGTACATTTTTTAACGGTAATTTTTTAAGTACTTAATGGCAATAAATATGATCGTTACTTTTGTCGTTACTTTGTATACATACAATACATAAGTGGAACGTGCATAAGCGAGTTTAAAAAAAAAATAGTATTATATAAGAATATTATAAAAGAGTGTTCGTAACATTAACGATTGAATCTCTATAAAAAGTCATCAAAATTCGGTGAAAAATAAAATTAATAACAAATTTTAATAATAGCAAACTTTTTACAATAAATAACGAGTTAAGGTAACAAGTTACTTTTAGAGATAACTTTGCCAACTTTGCTGAAAAGTTACATTTCTAGGATATTTTGTTAAATCGTTTAATAAAATTTGAGCGATAGTTAAGGATATATAATATCATATGTATTTTTTAACAAAATGAAAAGTTATGTTACAAATAAAAAGTTATTTGCTACAATGTAATAATACACATGTGTGACCGTAGATTATGATACATATAATAAATAAAATAAGGCGTATTCTCTTGTGCATATAGTGCTATCATAAGTAAAAATTAGCTTTAGCCGATACTATAAGCTCGTCGATACTACTTTCTCTTATAACATTCACTTTTATACGGAAGGTATGAATTTCAAATTTCAGTCACATTTTACAGAGACTATACACCTGATACTTTGAAAGCTGAAGTACTTTCGAAATATCCTCGATCTTACCACATCATCGTCAAAACCCTGAAGCTGCTGATCCGGAAGTCTCTCATAAACCACTCTACCCAGACCACCGTTGCAGGTTGTTTGCGCTGAAACTATATAATGATTTTCTTAGCACCTGTTTATTGGCAACGTGCGATAGATCCTGATTTTACTATTTATATATTAATTTGTGTAGAAAGTACAGATTATTATTTCCTTTTCGCATAAAATTTAGGCTACTTCCTCTAGTCAACAAACGCTCGCGCGTTCTTTGATTTTATCAGATATGTATTTTCATAAGTGGCACGGATAGTGACACAATACCGACCAACAGTTTCGTAAGTTCAACATGACATCGTTCTGTATCCTCCGAGCTGTTCCCTCACATGTTCGCAGAACTATTTAGTTACGTATGAATTCCAAACATATTTTTAGAATACAATTGCCGCGCTGAACAAAATATCGAAAAGATGTTTTTTTATCTTAATTTTAAGCAAAAGTTATTATTAACTTGTAACGATTACTTCTTAATATTTCAATCGTTATATTAATTAATTTAAAATAAATAATTAATGAACTTATAATTATATCATATTTAATTAACGATAAACATTTTTAAAAAAGCGTTTAAATTCTTTTCCCCAATTCTGTTGATTTTTAAATAAAACTTATTGAAATCGAAAGTAATGTATATTGAATATATGTATATTGATAATCTATTGATATCTATTAAAAGACTTCTTACATTAATTATATGGAAAATTAAATCTCGATAGAATAAATTAATTTTCACATATAATGTAGCTTATAATGTGATAAACAAAAGACGTCATAGGCACATAGCTCAATAATGAATAATTGTTGAATTATGGTGCATCAAAGATGCTTTCTTACAAGTTTTGTATATATTTTATATTATCTTTGATCAGTCATAGCTTTACACACCCTGTCTATTATATAATACATTATAGCTTCAAAACTATTCATTATTGAGCCTTATTTTTGTGATATCTTTTATTCATCACATTATAAGTTATATTATATGTGTAAACTAACTCCAATTTTATAAATGAAAATCGACTCATTTCAACTCAGTTTTCCATATAATTTGAATGTAAGATCAATTTTTTGACCTAAAATAAATTGTAAAAAAATTTTAATTTATTACGTTCTTACCATTGACCAATAGATCTAGCACGATGAGTATCCAAATGAATGGCAGCATATTAATTGATCTGTGAACTTTCCGCATCATGATATTGAAATGTACGGATTACTATGTCGCATACGTGCCAATCGCTATTAAGCTCTGAAAATGAATTATTAAACATATTTGATACTTAAAAGAAAAGAGATATTTTTTACAATTTATATTTATTACAAATTTTTGTAATTTTAATTTTGATATTACCAAATATACATTATTACAAAAATAAATTATTTTGTATTATTTTCTGTAAAATTACCATAGTAGAAATTGCAGAAATAGAAATTAAGAATGGTTTGAAAATTGTTTCTTGTTTCAAAAGGAGAGGAAAAATTTAATTTGTGCGAGATGAGAATTGTTTTTCTAAGGGGTAGCTTTGTATTGAAGTTTAATAATGCAAGAGATCTTGAAATTATTTATGCAACAGACGAAAAGCTATACGTATTTTCCATGTGTATTTTTCTTTTATGAAATAAATGTTGAGAAAAATATTGAAACTGCTTATATGTACCATGAAGGCATATGAAATATTTAAAAATTCCTACTGCATAAATATTTTATTTCACATTTATATAATTAAGAAAATATTTTTAATTAAAGGAATTCATAAAAATATGTTTATAAAAAATACATGTATGAAAAAAACAGATAGAGTAATTATTGCTTAGTTATTTTTGAAAATCATTCAAATGTTTCACCTATTATTTCCCTGGAGGGCTAGGTGTAATGGACGCAAATCCAGTTTTTGTTCCTTATATGAAAAAAAGATACATGAAAAATCGGAATACAGATAAAACTACTAGCGAGTACCATTTGTTCTGATCGATGAACGTTTGTACGTATGTACTCGAGATACGTGGGGACAGGCGTGTATTAAACTTTATGGAATTCCTGACGAGCACTCACCCTGAACACTACTACACACCCTCGCACGCCTATATACATACGTAGCTGCCAAAGGATCAGCACACGCTCGTAAGGGCAACGAAGCGTGGTTCCAACTTTCAGGCATTACATTATTAGCCGGTTGCTATTATATGTCCGGTTATCGTGATTGATGTAGGAGAGCGCGGGTTCAATCATCGGAAACGAAAGAACGAGCAGGTCATCTTCATATGCAATGATTTCTCCATTTCCGATAACATCGAAAATCGAAAGAAAAAAGGACAAACGTATGTATGCGATATATATATATATATTTTTAAAAATAATTTTATGAATGTAATTATGAATCTATCAAAACAATTTCAGGCCTTATATACTTTCACAATTTGCTTGCAAATCAGTGTATTATATTTTTACATTAATTTTTTACATAATGTTTATGATATTTTTCAACATACTCGTCTTATATTAAATTAATACAAAAATTTGGATAAACTGTTTCGAACATTAAATTATTTACATAATATTGTCTTATTAATTATAAGCTCTCTCTACAAAGTATGATAAGAACATTAACGTTATTCGGCTTTATTGGTCTACAATTTCGAAAATATCGCGCTCGAGCTCAGCGAGAGCCCATATATAGCATCCCCATAATAGGATGTTTATGATATCGACAATGTATCGTAAAGAGGTTTTCTATTGTCAGGGTAATTTATGTTTACTCATTGATGCACAAGCGTACTTGTTCGTGACGAGTATCAATTACTATAGCTGCGGCTCGTCCACCGATTGTGTCCATCGTGCAGCGCTGCTTATTAATCGCGTTATAGTTTATCGCCTCGGTAATTGCGTCTGTCACCGACAACGCAGTATAAAAGCTTATTCTGATGTTAATATCATCGGTCGCGTGAGAAAATTATGGTGCTCGTTCGTAATAATTCGCATAATATTGCCCGTGCGAAATTACATTTCTGCAATTGTCTTCATTGGATTGCCGGATTTATGACGTACTGCTCGCCGTATGCAAATTATTTCGGGAAATTACTCGAATTAAGATAATTAAACATATCATCAGACACGAGTGTGGCAGCACCAATTAAAAACATCGTGAAAGGAGATATTAAAAGTTTCCTTTACTTTAAATAATCGCGGGAAATGGTTTTAATTTTTGCTGCCATTGTAAAATTATACTATTACAAAATATTAAAAATTTTCATATTACCAAATATTAAATATTTTATATAATAATTGAATTTATCGTGAGAACGCGCTACTAATTATAGGTATAATACACTGTAAAAAAAAAATGAAATATTAATTTTAACTTAAAGATGTTTAGTGGAGACTTTCTGAGATATACAAAAATGTGAAAATTAACACAAAAATGTTAATTTTAATATTTTTTCATGTCTTAGAAAATTCACTATACACTACGTTTTTAAGTTAAAATTAACATTTTATTTTTTACAGTGTACAGACTGCACATTTCCTGATCTCAGCATCTGTTAGAAAGAACTAAATCATATCAGCCTCTCTCTTCAACTATATGTGTATTTTAAAGAGAGATATAAAAAAATAATAAGATAAGTATTGTTATTGAACGCTCTAGGATCTTCTCAAGTACTAAGATAATCCATACGGAGTTATAATATAATTGTTTACTTACATAGAAAGAATAATTTTGCTAAATACAAGACTGTAATTTTAAGAAAAAAGAGAGAAGGAAAACGCGCGATATGATTCAATCTATCTTTTTTTAGACTGATAATGACAATTTCATACTAAGAAAAATGTCTGACTGGATTAATTGGAATTTTGTTTGAAAATAGAGGAATCAGAATTTCTGGTTAAAAGTCTACTAAAATTCTAATTGAGATAATCGGAATTCTGATTGATATATCAAAATCTTCTAGCGCGTCCATTTTCAACTAGATATTTTTCTCAGTATAAAAATTTATTCTTAATGCTATGGCAGAACAAAGAAACTTAGCAATAAGAAGTAAGTAGTAACCAAATCAACATTTCAGATTTGCTATTATTTAGGTTATTGCCTTACGTTTCTACTGTACGATTGATCGATTCGTTTGCTGTTTACATCTTACTGCCTTATGGTAGGAGCACAAAATCTTGCATAATACATAATGCGCAATGCATGAAAAATATACCAATCAAAATTCTTCATTTCCTTTTCATGAAATAAAAAATTTTGATTGGTTGATTTTTTTTTGCCTTATGCATTATGCAAGAATCTGTGCTTCTTTCCTCACGTTCTTTTCGAATAGTTTTTATTAAATGTATGCTACTAATACTGTAAATGATAAACTGATTAATACTGTAACTGATAAACAAAAGAGAAAAATGAGTCATTCAGGAGAATAAAAGACAGTTTAAAAATCATTGTTGATGCAATTCATAATTTGGGTTTTGGAAAGCTTACTTTCCGTAGTTGCTTTTCATTGCGAGCTTCCACCGCAGGATCTATTGTTGCGGTGCTTTGAACTCTATTGGTACGCGGATGGTATTGTTGCGTGCGTACTCGTGTCGAACAGGGAATGAATTCGGTCATTGTTGTGTGACGTTCATGTTAATGGAACTTTTGCACGCAACGACAAATTATTATCTGGCAATGTGCCATTCTGTTCGGATTCGGGCACGACGAGATGCTGAGAGTGAGATGACAACGCATCCAGAACCTTTGAGATCCGGCTGAGATCTTCTGAGCCATTGAAAATCATTACCAGTAAAATACGATCGCGGCTATGCAAAAGATCATGGAAAATCAGTAATACTCGCATCGAACAATTGCGTAATGATCTCTTGAGTAATTATCATAATTACAGCATAAATACAAACGTGTACTGCGCTCCAACGCGTTAATTGCGCGATACGTCATTAAAATAATTAATTTTGAGTAATGCAGTCATGCGAGTTACTTTATCCTTATATGGATACATAACTATATGAATGATGTTCCGTGAAAATATTTTTCTCTACACAGAAAGAACGGTTTTATTAAAATATTTAAAAATTTAGCTATGTAGATATAGATTTAAAAATAATTTTGTTAGACGTTAAAATAATTATGTAAGATCCTCAAGCTGATTGTCAGTGTCAAAATTTTTTGTAATATTGTTTATTATGTTTAAACATCTTACATAATTATTTTATTGATAATCCAATAAAATTATTTTCAGGTTTGTATCAAGCTAAATTTTTAGAATTTTAGCGAAATCACTCTTTGCTTGTGATAAAGGAAAATTGATCATCACGATGAATTTACTAAAAAATCATTATTTACTTATATGAGCTCATATGAAAGTCTTACGTTTTCATGAAATGAATTTTTCATCTAGAATTGCAATTATCGATTCAATAAATCTTCTTTCGAGGAAGAGATAACGGAACATGAGGGTACTGGTAAAATAAATTCACTCTCACGAGCGCGGATTTAATCTTTTGCCTGTAACATTCTCTTAAAAAAAAGCTATAAAATTATAATTAAAGTCGAATAATTACGAGTGACTTTTCCCAACATACATACATACACATGTTACATTATATTGTTGAGTGGGACTACTTATTTTATACTGATTTAATATCGTTTAACATTTGAGTAAAAAGATTGTCAATGGTGTAAAAAAGAATCATCGATGAAGGGAAAGAAAGTTAATCTTACCCAGAAGGAACAGCTTTCCCCTAGTTCTTCGTCGCAAGCTCTCCGTTCCTTTGGCGTGATTGCAATTGCTGTGAAGGAGGACGAAGGGAAGCGTCGCGGATCTCGCGATGTGCCAGTGCTATCCCAACGCGATCCCAAAAGTGATCTTATGGATCGCGCGCGAGAAAGAGGCGTGCGAGCGTACGCCGAAATCACGCGTGTGGCGCGAATGGCACCTGTAATCAAACTGACGGTCGAAATCAGCGGGAAGCATGGAAATAATGGACACCTGTACACTTGGGAAGTGGAGAGAGAACGGCAAAAGAGCAAATCGTGCATTCCTGATGAGAGATCCCCGCGTTACAAGCCATAGACCGCGTGATAGACCATAGGGGGCCCATAGAGCACGATGCATGGATAACGCGCGCGGGGGCGGACAGGTAGGGTCCCCACGTCCGACTTCTCTGGCCTTGCACGCAGCGGAAGTGGACCCATTGTGTGT